GAAAAGCAAAGTGCCCATTTTTTCGGTGTAACGATTAGCAATGAACAAGCAGAGGCAGGGCTTGTAGTTAGAGTTACTTCAGCAGCTCAAAGCAAGTTTAAGGTACACTCCAGATCAATAGAATTTTTATGGTAGTTATTTGTCCTATTTTATACTTCGTAAGCAGTGCCGGTACATCTCATGTTTTTTGTGTTTTCTACCTTTCCATGACTTGAGATGTTAAAACTAAATTTTGTATAATTTCAGCTACTGTATTTTGAACAAGATGCAAATGGAGGTTATGGCCTGGCTTTGCAGGTACTGCATTTTACAGTTTTTGGTTCCATTATGAATTCAAGATATTTTTAATTGATGTAGAGTTCTGAGTGATTTGAAGTGGCCAGGCAGTTGCTGATTCATCAAGCTTCTAATAAAAGCATTTATTCTGGAATTAAAACCAAATTAAGAAATGTATACTCTTCATTCCATACTTGATTTTGGGCGACATTTCGAGCATGTATAGACACAACTTTCTCTAGGATTGTTGCTTGATTAGTAATCTATGCATTGAGGAAAGAAGCACCTATTCTTTTCTTAAAAGATAAAAAACAAATCAGAAAAGATGTTACCAATTCTCAAAAAAAAAAGAAAAGAATCAGAAAATAACTCTCCTTATATTGTAATGAAGTAACGTTCTTGAATTGCAACTTTAGGTCCTCTTTGTTAAGCGCTTAGCTTGATGTATCTCTATGGCTTGAATGAGATTTTCCTGGGAATTTAAAGCTTAGTCTTGAGGTATTTTTTCTTTTAAACTCAGATTGAGAAATTAAAGCTTAGTCTTGGTTTGCAATTTTTTTTGTTGTAACCAACATAACTTTTAACAACTACTACTAGGCCCTATTTGCTTGCACTTATTAGGGGTCTGAATCTGAATGGCTTAGATTTCAGCCCATTAAGTGGTTTTTTGTTTTGTGTTTTAAAATACTTAAATGGATTTAAATGGGTCTGGATGAATCAGATTTGTAATCAACTCTAACACCATGAAGAACTTAAATTTCACTTTTTTCTTAGCAAAAGTCATGCCCATATTTATATATGTGAAGAACTTTGCATTTCGACGAAATAAAAAAACCTTCATGTCTCTTGCATTTGCCGGAATCTTCAGAGGAACTGGCGACACCAATTCTTGCTCTGGCAGCTATTTCTGGTGAAGTGGGCCACCGATGGAGATGTTCAATTGTTTGTTGAGGTTGAATTCGAAAATATAGAACCAATCAAAGAGGGTGGAAGTAGTTGGGTCATCAGGTGTACTGAGAAAGTATGGAGGAAAGCATCAGGTTATTTCTGAAATGGGTTGGAGCTCCACTTTGTCATGGTGAAGTGGGATTAGGCATTTTCTGTCATAAAGGAGTCCTAGAAATGGTGAGGTTGGTTAGTAGGTCGTAGGGACACCGGGAGGGAGTGAACAGGAGGGCTTTTCACGTAAAAGGAAGGATGAACTTGGATTGTTTGGTGGGGTGGGTTTGAGGAAGAGATGCAGAGTATTTAGGATTAGTGGTGGAAGGGGAGTGGTTGGGTGATAACATGAAGATGAGAGATGTGTATCCACTATCCAGATTCAGGCAACATCTTAGTGTGTATCCAGACTCAAGACATTTTAATCTTAATAAACACAAATGACCTCTAAATCTCAACCAAACAAGTAGGGTTTGCTATATTGCTATACGAATTCTCACTAACCATATTTCTCAATTTAAATTCATCTCAGACCAATATATACAAATAAAAATAAAGGAAGCATGAACAAAGCTTACTTGGTTATCCAAGCTTCTAGCCATATGGCTCACGAGTCATGCCTTATTTGCGGGCGTAGAAAGTTATGGTCAGGAGCCAGTCTAGTAGATGAGGCTGTATGTTTGTAAGATCTCAGTTTACTAAAGTATTGAATTGATAGTATGAATCAACTGCTTTGGAAAACTAGACCTCATTCTTGATGTTCGCTGATTTTGAAGCTCTTCATGGTCTGCAATCTGCATCAGCTGTGAGGATTATATATTCGAGTGAACTCACTTGTACAGAGCAGATACTGGACTTCTTATTCTTTATCTTCAGATATATATGCTCAACGTGCTCGTAACTACATTAAATTTGCCTGCAAACCGTGTTTCTTTTTGTTACAGGTCTCTTTCGAGTATTTCTTTTTGACTGTTAGTTCTGAACACACTGATTTGTGAGCAAGTGTATTGTATTTTAAATGGACATGTTGTTCATCTCTAGTTTATTCTAATCAGGTAATTGACTGATCAAATTTTTCTTAATAAAAGTGTATTGTATTTTAAATGGACATGTTGTGCATGCCTAGTTTATTCTAACCAGGTAATTGACTTGATCAAAATTTTCTTAATGAACCTGATGAATTGTCATTGTATACAGGAAGATAGTGAGAAAACGGGTAAGGTAACGTCAGCAGGAATGTATTTCCTGCACTTTCAGGTGTACAGAATGGATTCAACTGTAAATGCGGTATGTGAATATCAACCAATTGGTCAAGTCCATTAATGCAGTGTAGTCAGAACTAATAAATTATTTGAAATATTGTAGTTAGCAATGGCTAAGGACCCTGAAGCTGCTTTTTTTAAGAAGTTGGAGGGCCTTCAACCTTGTGAGGTCTCAGAACTAAAAGCTGGCACTCACATATTCGCTGTTTATGGTTGGAGCTACTTATATTGCTGAATACTTGTTTTTTGTTGCTGCAAAACACCTTCTAATTCCCAATTGATTGCCCAATACTAAATTCTCAAGGATGAATTTTGATCTGATTTCTGCAGGAGATAATTTCTTTAAGCCAGCTACTTATATAATTGAGGCTCTTTGTGCCAAGTCATATGAGGATACTACTGTTAAGCTCAAGGAAATCGAGGCTCAGATTTTGAGGAAGAGAAATGAGCTTCGGCAGTTTGAAATCGAATATAGAAAGGTTTGCTTCTGGACAATATTTATCATCAATGATAGATTGCTTCAGCTATGCTCATTGTACTACTTTCCATGTGATGTTAACAGGCATTGGCACACTTCCAGGAAGTAACCAACAGATACAGCCAAGAGAAGCTGTCTGTAAGTTTCTGCTGCTAGTCTCATGGTCTAAATATCATTTCCATAAATGTGCTCATATTGAGATGTTATGTCCAACTCATGATTTTCATCTAGTTCCCGATTCCCCTTGAAGTTCTTCAAGTTATTTCTCATGAAATTAGTGACCCGGGAAGTGTTAATTAGAGCCATCATTAATGCATATCTTGATTGTTTAGACGGTACTTCACTTTGTCTCCTCCTATTATCCGATTGATAGTTCCCTTGCACTGATTAAATACTGCTGTTTGTAAAGGTCGAGGAGATGCTGAAACAAAGAGACAGCATCCACTCTTCATTCACAGTTTCAAGGTCAATTGCTAATCTAAGCGGCAGTGGAAGCGGGCATTTCAGTAATGGAAGTAGCAGTAAAGTCCTTGGCGAAGATTATAAAACCGATAGTCCAGGGGAAGATGGAAGCTCAGACTCCAAAGACAAGTCATCAAAGAAAAGATGGTTCAACCTTAACCTTAAAGGATCAGATAAAAAGAACTGAAAAGTCGACGATTATCTATGTTCTATACTTGATCCCAAATCAAACGCCAACGGGGCAGGTATTGCGCTGCCGGAACAAGTCCCTTCATATATTCTTTGTTCTATTTGTTAGTTTGTGCTTTTACCAGATGCATTTTGTCTTTAGGGAAGTGATGTTTGGAATATATATATATAGGTGGTGTTTTTGGTGTTTGTAATGCATGATTCTTGTGATGTACCATAAAACTAGGCTGATCTTCAGCTGTCAATCCATATAAGTAAGATTATAGAATTCAGAAGGTGTTGTAATTTTAGTCTATGGGCATGTTCTTTTTTTTTGGTTGGCATTGTGAAGTTGTAATATTTCAATGGTGGGAATCTCAAATCTTACAACAAGAAAAATTAACTTTTGTGAATTTTTATGCTTCCGTTTTTATATCTCGAGTGCGTACAATATGAACTTTTATGTTAGTGTTGCGTACAAATATACAAAAGCATAAACATGGCATTAACTATGAAAGTTGCGGAGAAATATCATAGAGGTGTGGAAGATCATGGGAAAGGTCATGTAGGTGTGAGAGTTAATTACTAAAATAATGGTAGGAATTACACCTAAGAATTATGTACATTCAATTTACAACAAGATTATGTTACTTCTTGTCCGTTTCAATTCACAATTATATTTTTTCATGTTTATCTTCAGCATTAAATACTCTTTTTTCAAATCATTTTCAAGATTTAATACTAAACATCATTTAATAGGGATAGTTTGATAAAATACCTATATCAATAATTTATTTTTCTAATGGGTGTGCCAAATCAAAATGTGACAAATAAAAGTGAATAAGGAGTAGTTTTGTTATAATTTTAATATACAAAATAACTCTCGTTCTAACCAGCAACCAAACGGCCCATTTACTACATTATTCTACAATCATGTTCTCTATTGTTTCTTCAAATATTTGTGTACAAACTATAAAATGAGAAAGTAATCCATTGCAATTTACATATTTTGAAACAACCAGCTAACAAACTTGTTAAACAGCAACAACATTACAAAAATAAATATAAATAAATAAACAACAATATCTCCACAGCCATTAAAACCAATGTGGAGAAAAATAAATCAAATATAATATCATCACAATCCAACCTAAACCCAAACACCAAAAATTAAATTTAAAAAAAATAAAAATTTAAAACCATCAAAAAGATAAAATAAAATTTAAAAAAAGAAAAGAAAATGGAAAACTCATTCTCTTGTGCTTCTTGAGCTAGCGAGCCGCTTAAAGGTTTGACAGAATTTAATAGCTTTACGTTTTGATTGAAAAATCATTTAGAAACCCAATAACCTTTTTCCCTTAGAATTTAAAGCTCCTAAATTTAAAATTCTAATTCCGACTTTGATTATACTCTCATCAATTCTCAACCATTGCATTAAACTTCTCCAAAAATGATTCTTGTCTTTGCAATTTAATTTCTTCATAAAACCTTTCAATAAACTTCTCAGCTCTCTCATCAACCGAATCATCATCATCATCATCGTCATTATCATCATCGTTGCCATGAAAATCTGTAAATTCTTCCATGGAACCTAATCTCTCCAACTCCAACACTGGGTACCTTCTCTTTTTTTCTTCTTCTTCGACTTTCGCCATTCCCAAACATCTCGAAATAAAGAAAACAGACCATATATCTCTGTAACTCCTCTGTTTTCTGAATGATTTTTTTCTGTTATAGTAATGAATCAATGGTGTATTTGAAGGAGAAAATTGGTATTCTTGAATATACCCATAATTGTAATGCTTAAGAAGACTAAATTTCTTCATTTTCTTCGCATTTTTCAGAGAAATTAACCTTGTAATGATGGGTTTTCTCATTTTTGCTAAGAAAATTGACATGTTTAGTAGATTAGAAACTTTCTGAAAAACAGGGGAACTTTTTTTGGGCATTTTTTTTTATTTCTAAGTTCAAAATGTGAGAGAAACTTGAGATGAAAGCTCACTCAAGTGACTCTCACTTTTGAATTTGAAGAATGTTTCTTGTTTTGGAATTTATTTGTAGTGTTTTCTTGGGTACTGTGTAGAGCAATTTATTGGTGAAAAAAGGTGTTTTTTTTTCAAAGAGGGAATGACAAAAATGGTCCCTTATATTTGAGGTTTGGTTCAAAATAGTCCCTTAAGTATACGCTAAATAATTTCAATCCTTTATGTTTTAATGTTTTAACTCTGTTTTCTAATATATTGAACTCCGTGGGTTAGATTCGATGGAAATTAGCAGGAACTCATCTTTAGAGATACAATTTTTATTGTTTTTACTATTATTTTTAGAGAATTTTATGCAAATCACGTAGTGAACTAATTATATCATATTTCTATTATTTTTTAAATTACAAAAATCCCTTAAATTTGGTGGAATTCGAATACATCATTCAATGTCCCACTACATCACATATGTCCTGATACATACAATAGTGATGTATTGCGTCCTAATACATCGCGTAAAGTGATGTATCTAAGAATAGTAGAGAGTAGGGATTTTTGTAATTTTTTCAAATGATAGAAAATTTTAGAAAATATAGTAAAATATATTGTGTACTTAGGTTATTTTTCCTTATTTTTATTCTTTCTAGAGTTTTATGTGCAAGTTTTTAAGGTATAATTTATGTTATTTAGAGTCTAGTATTTGATACAGTCTTTTATATTGTATATTTTAGGATGATGTTGATCATTCAATAGGATGGATCAATATTTATTTTTCATGTTTGAAAACAGATTATTAACTATCTTCATTTGAAAATAGATGATTAATCATTTACTTTCCACATTTTCAAATCATCGTAATTTAAAAATAGATGATTAATCATTTACTTTTCACGTTTGATAAATAGCTAAAAGGGCATTACCCTTAAACATAAAGGACTAATTTTGTCAAGTTTGTTTTTGAAGAATGTGAAAATATGTGGAAAGCTAGGCTGGAAAAAGGTTTGTGGTCGGTGTCAATTTGGATTTTATTATAGTGAAGTAGCCGTTAAAGAGCGGGTTCTCTCTCAGTTCCACTTTATTTTAAAATGGGGTTTACGCGATAACAATCTAGATTAATCATGTTTCGCAAAAATAAGATAAATATAATAAAAAATTAAAGAAATTTTGATTCTTTAGAAAATATATTTGGATCAAGTTAAAAAAAATAATTTATTTTTCATGATTCTGATTTTAAATCAAGTGATTAAGAATATTTTAATATTTTACTTTAATGCAATACTATAAAAATACTTAAAAACTAATTTGGCTTTAAAATACTTAAAATAAATCAATTCAAATGGACTCATAGTTGCTATAATTTCCATTTTCAAATCTAGACTAATAAGAGTTATCGCGGAAATGATAGAATCTCTTTGCTCTTAACCGAATTTTGGAGTTTGAACGTATGAAAAATATTTGTGACTAGAGAACATCTATTTTTCAAATGGACCTTACGCGGTAGTAGCGGAGTTATGATTTTACTAATGAAAGTTTTCATTAAGAGGGCTCAAAACTTGAAAAAGTAGACACATGAACTGATCGAAGGAGGTTCGACATCTACAATGCATATATAAATATTATTTTAATCATATATAAAGGGTTCAAATGAATCCCTGACCACAAGGTGCTCCTCCCTATTACGCCAACACCAATCTTAATTAGTCGGATTCCAAATACTATCGGACACGGAAAGAAAAAAAGAAAAAAAAAAGGGGGGAAAGATTTCCAAATCTGGGACAGAAAAATATAATTTAAAATTAAAAGAAATTTCGATTTCCAAATCGGCAGCAGAAACAATAGAATATAAAATTAAAAGAAATTTCGATTCCTTTCTGATATTATTAATTGGTTATGTTTAGTACATGGAACAGAACAATTAAATACAGTTGTTTTACCTTCTAATCAAAGTTTTCTATTGCATTATTCTGCAAGAGATTCGTTTCAGATCCCAAATAAAATTACAATTTAATTATTTTTTCCTTGAATAATATTTTTCTACAAAAATTATGACTTTATTAATGATAAATATTAATCATTTTAATTAGAACTGTCAATATGAATAGACGTAATTTAGTTGGGCTTAGCTTATGGAGATTTTGATATTTAACGATTTGAGTTGGGTCGGCCTACTGTGACCACATGCCTTCAAATGACTAGCCCAGCTTAATAGGTTGTGGGTCGGGCCAACACCTTTTCTAAAATATATTTTTTCATGATTTTTAAGAAAATTGTATTTTGATATGAAAATGCTTAACATAAATATTTTAGTAATGTTGGTCACGTAGTGAATTTTTGTATTGGATTGTTGGTTAATACGATATCAAAATCATTACTATCATTAATGGCGTTAACTACGACTATCACCATTGGCAATTACTATTGTCAGTCGTTGATATATCTGTCACCTTCATCATTGTAATTATATCCACTACCACCATCACCATTGTCGACGAACATTAGCGTCACCAACCGCCAGATGCGACCACCAACCACCTCTTTCTTTACAATCACATTGATAACCAGTTGCCAACCACTACAGTTAGTAGCTATAATATCTATCACCTCCATCATTATAATTATATTCACGATCACCATCAACATCATCATCCCTGCCACCTCCACCATCACTATCAATTATCTATCACCATGAGATCAATCCCTACTACCTACCACCTCCACCATCATAACTAGCACTGGTGCTAACTGCTAACTATCACCCAACACATCGTCAAACACCTTACATATTCTTCAACTAGCCACCACCATCATATATCGCCAACAACCAGAGGCGGAATTTTTCTAGTTGGCCAAGCGGTCCCGTCTTCCATAGCCAGGGATTAGTCATTTAAGGATCAGTTGATGCGCTGGGATGAAAGAAAGTTATCAGGATTAGGAGTTTGGGGTTCACAAGTTAATATATATATATATATATATATATATATATATATATATATATATATATATATTTATTTAATTAATTTTTCAATACAAATATAAGATCTATGGAAAAGCTAGTGAGTTCGCCCGAACCCACGAACCTCCACCCAACTTCGCCTCTACCAACAACTAACATTAATTAACTTCACCATCACAACTATCAACCGTCACCGTCACGTTAGTCGCTACGACACCAATTAAATTATACAAACAAATATCTAAGAATATATATTTAATTTAGTAAAGGCTAGCTATATATAGGGATTAGGTTTTTTCTAACTTTCTTTATCTTCAAACATTCTAAACTTTATAAGTCGTTTTCATTTGGGTAAGCAGTCTGTTGAAAAAATCGTTTCTAAAGAACTAATCACTTCATCATTAAACAATGATTAAAGATTTTTTTTTTTAATACATAGAGTACTATTTTTTACCTTTCTGAATTTGTGGTCAATTTTGGGTGTGTTTGGTATGAAGGAAAATATTTTTCCGGAAAATGTTTTCCAATTTTTTCATGTTTGGTTGGGTTAAATGTTTTGGAAAATGTTTTCCAAATCAATTCATTTTCCTCAAATTCAAGGAAAATGACTTCCCTTCAAAAATCAAGGAAAACATTTTCCAAAACTTTCCACCAATTTCAAATTACAACTTTTTTGTTGAAAAAATAAATAAATAAAAAAAGTTGAAAAAGTAAATTTAAAGCTTATTTTTAAAAAATATTTTTCAACTTCAATTTTTTTATCCGACCCACCCCCCTCCCTCCTGCCCCCTACCACCCCCCACCCCCACCCCTAAAAATAAATAAATTAAAGTTTGTTTTTAGAAAATATTTCCAATTCCAAAATTTTATTTTCACCCACCCCACCCTCGACCACCCCCAACCACCAGCCCCACACTCCCCCCCTCCCCCCAAAAAAAATAATTAAAAGTTTGTTTTTAAAAAATATTTTCAATTTCAAAATTTTATTTTTTCACCTCTACCCTCGACCCCCCACTCACCCACCCTAAAAAAAATAATTTAAGTTTGTTTTTTAAAAATATTTTCAGCTTCAAAATTTTATTTTTTCAGCCCAACCCTTGACCCCCCCACCCCCCAAAAAAAATTTAAGTTTGTTTTTTAAAAAATATTTTCAACTTCTAAATTTCAATTTTTCACCCCTACCCTCGACCTCCCCTCACCCACCCCCTACCACCCCCCACGCCCCAAAAAAATTAAGTTTGTTTTTAAAAAATATTTTCAATTTCAAAATTATTTTCTACTCTAGTAAAAATAAAAGATATTTCTCAAAAATATTTTTTCATTCATAAATCAAACACTAAAAATCTTTTTCGGAAAATATTTTCTACTCACCAACCAAACATGAGAAAATAAGTCAAAAATCAACTTGTTTTCCAGGAAAACATTTTCTAGGAAAACATTTTCCATGAAAAACATTTTCCTTCGTACCAAACACACCCTTTATATAACATACTTTTCCTTCGAGGGAAATTAGGTCTTTTATACACCAAACGTTTTACCAAATGTATTTTATAATATATGCACATTACTTTTGTGTTTGACCATTTAATTTGTAATTGAGTATATTTTATTTTATTATATTAATGCACACTACTTTTGTGTTTGATCAATATTGTTTCTAAATATGTCTATATCATGCACTATAAGATCGTAACTCGTGTCATTAATTTTTTTTTAAAAATATATTAAATTACAATTCTACCATTGATATCTAAAAAGAAAAAAATTCTTTATGTTCTTCAGGATTTTGTGAAGAGTAAATTATTTTTCACTGCAAAAATATGATATTCTTTTTAAATAAATCAACAAAGAAAGTATGTCTGATAAATTGAAATGAAGAGTAATATTTATAATTGTTAATAACTTGCTTTGAAAATCAGCGTCAAATTCCTCAGCTATAAGATCAACTTAGCAAGTTTTTATGAGATCTTGACTTTTTAAAGAATTACATTTTCTATATCGTTACATTTTTAGC